GTTTTTTCCAACCTGAAGGATTCTACGATTGTAAAGCAAGCGCAGCACCAGCCAGGGTGACCAACAGCAGAAGAGCGCTGGCCCAGCCGACAGGAAACACACGCTCTTCTCCCCTCCGAGATTACAAATGAGGGAGAAAGAGCTTTGCAAAACACACCAGAAAGGGTTCCTCTTTCAACAGCCGCCGTGGAATAGGCTGCTAGTTTCAAACAGGCTCATGTAACACCACTTAGTTTTCCCTTAAATCATATTTTCTAAGGGGGGCAATGACACTTGCCACTGTTAATACTCCTTTAACCAGCAGACTGTGGCAGCCGAGACACAAAGCAGCACGATTTGGCTCCCATTTGGCAAATCACACCTTTCTGTTCTGAGGCTGGTATACCTCAGCAGGGAAAAAAAAAAACATCCTCAACCCAAAAAAAGCCCCCAAACCCTGTCCCATCCTGCGCAGCTCACCCTGCCTCAACCCCCTCTGAAATCCCAACGTGAAAAATCTCCTCTTACCAACTGCAAACCTGACAGCTGAGCACCCTGGCACTGGAAGAGGCAGGACAGGACTGGTTTCCATTGGACAGCCTTCCCAAAATCCCTGGAAGCAGGCAAGTACCCCAAACCCTGGGCAAGGCAACAGGAGAAAGAACCAAAATAAACTTCCCTGAGCTGACATTCTTTGCTTTTCCAGAAAACACGAGCTGTCAACCGTTCCCACACAAGCAGGTCACCATCCAACATCTTTACACGCTGCAAAATTCCTAGAAATACCCGTTGCGTTACGAGGGGCTAGGGAGTTTTGCTGTTGTTTTTTTAAACAAAGACAAAATTATTCTTACAGGGAAGGTGTTGGTGACACACTCTATCACAAAAGCAGCTTTTTTGGGTTTCAACTGCTTCAGGGAGGATTGCACGGGGAGGCAGCTTCGTCAGTTTTGGATGAGGAGAACATCCAAACCTTGTGAAAAACTGGGTTAGTAGAGCAAAGGAAGACGAAATAAATGGAGATGAGGTGGGCAACAGAAAAGAACAAGCAAGAGCATCGTTTCAGTGTTTTCAACACTGAACTTCACCAGCCAACAGGAGCAGCACCAACGCAAAGCGAAGCGTTTTTCGTATGATTTCTTGGAACTCTTTTAGGGAATTCTGACAAAATGACTCTTAACAGCAAGAAGTACAAAAGAACGTTCAGGAGCTCCCAGGCTTTCACAAGAGCTTGTCCATCTGCTCGGGCGGCAAGCAGGAATCAAATGGCCAAAAAAAAAAAAGCAACAAAACACTGAGGCGAGTCAGAAGCCGAGCGAAACAACCGTGCAGCTCACAAGAAGTTCAAAACAAGCCAAACCTCGAGACATTTAAGCTTCAAGGAATGGGAACGCAGAACGTCTCTACAGATAGGGACAAAGAGCTGAGGGCAACAGGATTTCCCTGACACAAAAGCAGCTTGACAGGCTGCAGGCAGGGAGCTGCATCATGGGCTTTAACTTTCCAGTGCCTCAACTCTGGTTTCTGCTTTATTTTTTTAATTCAGGTGACAACCTGAGACGCTTCAGGGCAGACGTAGCACGGCTTGGGCGTTGTGTTTTTTTTCTTTGCCACCCGCAGTCCCCAAGGGTAAAAATAAACCCCCTCCTGGAGCAAAATAAATGACTGCTTTCTCAATGAAACCATGAAAGAGCAGTTAAGAGAAACCTCAACCATCTTCAAGGCCGCGTCAGTGAGTAAGAAAAGGTCGAACTGCTGCGGAAAAAGAAAAAAAAAAGAAAGACTAAGTCACTTCCTCCGTGCCGGATGCCGGAGGGCCCCGAGCACACCACAAAGAGTGACTCAATGGCGAAAGCAAACAGAGATCTGCAAGACTTCCCTCCTTGCCTTACGGATTCCAGAAAGGTTATGACTAAGTTCCCTTTCAAAGAAGAAATGTTTTCCCAACCAACCGAAGAAGTCTTCCCCCTCGCTTCAGATTTCTTCGAGGTGCATGAGGGTGAGAAGCAGGAACGTCTGCTCCTGCTCGAAGAAATCTGAAGCGAGAGGGAAGGAAAGACCCCAAAACGCAATCAGAAAGGCGAGCGAGGAGGGTTTACAGTTGGAAGAAAATTGCTAAGCCACTTTTTTAACATCTTACTGGGTTTTTTTCAGACATCATGAATGACCGGCAAACCGAGGGTGCTCGCCCACTGCGTCAAAGTCTGTCCCTCTCGCCCTGAAAAAGTCACTCCCTAAAGGCAGATCTGGAGCACGTGAGAGAATTCCCACTTCCTCACCCCTCCTGCACAGACTAGATTTCTGACTGCGTTCAAAACCTCCCTTAGGAAAAGAGAAATCAGCGCTTCAGCACATGCTGGATACCAAACAGAACGATTTTAGGACACGAAGTCATGCAAAACGCTCAGGTTCTCACAAAAATCAGGTTTATGCCTCCACACTTCACAACATATTCCTCCCTTAGTGGTTTTCTTCAAGAGCTCTAAGTTCTAGGGTACCAGTTGCGAAGCGTGACCACCTTTGCGCACGGGTGATGCTATTTATACAGACAACGCTCCAAGTAAAATCTATTAAAGAGAACAAATCAAAAACTGCGTTCACCGCCACGGTGAGCAGTTGCAGCTCCCGCTTCTGCTCTTCAACCGCTGGGTGGAAAATTCCCCATTTGCTGAAACCAAAGAGATTGTCAGAAGAGCTGGCAAACCCCCAGGAGGTGATGCTAATACTAATTTGTAATTACTGTTTTGATCAAATAGGAGCAAGACCCCTGTGGTGGGGAAGGTCAGCCACAGGTGAATTCAACACAGCTGTACCCAAGCAAGAGCCGAGGCCCGCTGGTCACTGAATTTGGGGCAGAATTCTCAATTAGCAATGTGCTAACAAATCAAGGATGACAGCAGGCTTCGAGCCGATGGACCCAAGCGACAGGGCTCACGTGCCAGCAGCTGCCAGGGGCGACAGCCACCCCCCGGCGTCAAATCCAGCCCGGAGGGCCCGACCGACCTGCTCCACATCCACGGGAGAGAGGACAAGTAGTCGTGGCCTTAAACTGCAGCGAGGGCGATCTAGGCTGGGCGTTAGACAAAGCCTTCTAACAGGAAGGATAATTAAGCACAAGACTAGATTGCCTGGGGAGGGACAGGAACTGCCGCTCCTGAAGGTTTTACAAGTGGTGCGAAACATCTGTCGCGCTCGCCCCACGTCAGGCAGGGGCTGGATTAGGCGGCCGTTCAAAGACTCGGCTCCGTTCCCTAACACCTCCCCGAGCCCCCCCCGCTGACCTCCTCCTTTAAACCGTTCCGATCCAGGAGCCGACAACGGCACAGAAATAAATTTTGTTTAGAACACAGCGCTAGTGGGGGGGAGAAGGCTGAGATTCAGAGCAACCGAAAGGCCAGCCTCCTCACGCCGGGGTGCTGGCACCCCCTTCCACCCCAACTCAGGGCCGTGGGTTCCACGTGCGAGCACGCGGCTGGACAAAAGACAGACCGACGGCCACCAAGCCCGCGCCGTCAGGCCCCGGATTTAGCCCATCACGAGGCAGCCCTCCTCCGCCTCCTGCCCCGCGGGACTTCGCCGAGACAGACTTAACAAGTTACCTTTTTAACATTTTCCTCCTCCTCTTGGCGTTTCTCGTAGTGTGAGAAGTCATCGAAGATGGAGGTGGTGTGCTTGTAGGTGGCAATGATTTTCAACACCTGCTTAGCCTTTTCCAGAGGCACCTCCTGAGTGTCCCTGGAGTTGGTCACTGGTTTATTCTCGTTGTTCTCTAGGCGGATGTGCCGCAGCTGGCTGTTGGGAACGTCCTTCACAA